GCAGAGGTTACTGATATTCTCACGCATCTGCACGAGCAGGAACCTGTTGTTCTGTCACTTCAGTCATACATTCGTGGTTTCCTTTCACGACAGAAGCACTTTTCTGATCTCAAGGCACTCAAGGCACAAGAACCGACCATCTTGGATCTCCAATCAGCCTGCCGAGGCTTCATGCAGCGCCAACGGACGTATGACACCCTCTGCGAGATCAACGCTCAAGAGCCTGAAACAGTCGACCTTCAAGCTGTAGCGCGTGGTATGCTGGCCAGGTTGCGGATCGGTATGCAGCTCGGCCAAGTGGAAGAACACGAAGAGGCCATTGTCGAACTACAGACCTTGGCGCGTGGCTTGATAATTCGTCAGAAATTTGCAGAGAAGCAGCAGTTCTACAAGGAGAACATGGAAAAGGTTATCAAAGTGCAGAGCTTTATTCGGGGTCGCCAACAAGGTGAGGCCTACAAGAGCTTGACTAGCGGAACCAACCCTCCAGTATCAACTGTCAAGAACTTTGTACATCTGCTCAACGACAACGACATTGACTTTGACGAGGAAATCGGTAAGTGGCATTTTTCTTGCTGTAACTGCAACGTACTAACTATATACCAGAGTTTGAACGCCTGCGCAAGACCGTAGTACAGCACGTACGTCAGAACGAGCTTGCCGAGCAGTACGTCGATCAGCTTGACATCAAGATTGCGCTGCTTGTAAAGAACAAGATCACTCTTGACGAGGTCGTCAAACATCAGAAGCACTTTGGAGGCAACGTGGGAACTCTACTCAGCAGCAAGGACATTTCCTCAAAGGACCCCTTCGATCTTAAAGCCCTCAACAAGAACTCGCGCCGGAAGTTGGAACAATACCAGGAGCTCTTCTTTGTTCTACAGACCCAACCCCAGTACATGGCAAGGCTTTTCAGGCGCATACGTGAACAGAGCTTGGCCGAGGGTGACATCAAACGTATCGAGCAGCTGACTATGAGTATGTTTGGACTGGCCCAGAAGCGCAGAGAAGAGTACTGGCTATTGAAGCTACTCGCCAGATCGCTGAAAGAGGAGATTGAGGGTTGCTCGAACCTCCATGAGTACCTTCGAGGCAACTTCTTCTGGAGCAAACTATTCGCCAATTACATCAGATCACCACGAGACCGCAAGTTCTTGAAAGACGTCCTCGGATCTGTCATTCGCGAAAACATTATTGAGAACGAGCACCTGGATCTGGAGAGCGACCCAATGCAGATCTACCGTTCCGCCATCAACAACGAAGAGCTCCGTACTGGCCAAAGGAGTCATCGTGACCCAAATGTCTCCCGAGACATAGCACTCAAGGACCCTGAGACGCGCGCAACCTTTATCCACAACCTGCAAGATCTCCGCGATGTCGCAGACCAATACTTCACAATGTTCGAGGAAGTGCTTCACCGCATGCCTTACGGTGTCCGCTACATTGCACAGCAGATGTTCGAAGAGCTACGTTTGAAGTTTCCCTACGAAGCACAAGAGCAGCTTCTACAAATCACAGGCCACTGGGTATGGAAGGCTTACATCCAACCTGCTCTGTTGCAACCCCAGCACTGGGGTGTTGTGGACCGCGGTCTTTCGCCAGTCATGAACAGAAACCTCGGAGCTGTTGCCAAGGTTCTTAGTCAGATCGCCTGTGGTAAGCTGTTTGGTGGTGAAGATCTCTACCTGCAACCTCTTAACAGCTACATCACGGAAGCCATCGATCGGATGCAAGACATTTGGTCGAACATGATCAATGTCCGCGCCGCTGAAGCTCAGTTTGAGATTGACGAGTTCAACGATCTGTTCGCAAGAACCAAGCCAACACTCTACATCAAACTCGCAGATGTATTCGCCATTCACAACCTCGTCATCGACGACCTACCAAGTTTGTGTCCCTCGCAAGACGATCCCCTCCGCGAGATTGTCCGTGAGCTCGGTAGCGCGAAGAACAACGAAAACGAGCTTTTGCACGTCAGCACCAGCGAGATTACCTTGACCCTGAATCCTAAGTATCATGAGCAAGAGGGTGAGTTTTACCGTCCCGCACATCTGACAACTACTAACGTTTCCAGATCCCGACTCCGCTATCAAATCCCTCTTCATGGAAACCAAGCGCTATGTCCTATACATCATCCGCATCCAGACCGGCGCCAACCTTACCGAAATCATGACCAAGCCCATCACCCCCGACGACGAAGCCCGCTGGGACGCCCTCGTCAACGAAGAAATCATCGCCCAACGAAGAGACCGCTCACGTAAACAATCCAACATCGTCCGCTCATCCGCCGCATCAACCTACACCCAGGACATGGGAGCCAACTCTGTCCTCGACCTTGACTACCCCACTCTGAAGCAATACTGTCTAGAGAACATGGTGCAACTCCAACGCGCAGGCCGCATCTCCCACACGAACAACTACCAAGACCTTCTCAATGCTATCGCAGTCGACATCCGGACGAAGCACCGCCGCCGCATCCAGCGTGCTAAAGAGTTGGAGGGTGTACGAACTACACTCGCTGCTTTGGACGAGAAGGCGCATTTCTTGGAATCGCAGTTGAAGAGTTACAACGACTACATTGAACAAGCCATGGTGACTCTGCAATCCAAGAAGGGCAAGAAGAAGTTCCTCCTCCCCTTCACCCGCCAATACAACCACCAGCGCGAATTGAAGAACTCGGGCCGTGAGTACCGCTTTGGTTCGTTCAAGTACTCGGCCAGGAATTTGGCCGAAAAGGGCATCCTGATCTCGTGGTCTGGATACGACGAACGCATGTGGGACCGCCTTGACATTACTATCTCGTCGAACCAGACGGGTATCTTTGAGATTCAGGGTAGCCAGGGTTCAATGATGATTCCGGGTGCTTTTGCAGAGGTGCCGCTGGATGGGCTGCTGCAGGCGCAATTTGATAATCATCAGTTTATGAACTTGTTTGGAGAAGGTGCTGGAAGTGGTGGTGGTAGTAAGATGATTGGAAGTGGAGCGGATGGAGTGGCGAGGGTTAACGTTAATTTGTTTTTGCATTTGATTTTCAAGAAGTTTTATAGGGATGGATAAAAGACGTTCACGGCTGGCTTTTTTTTGGTTTTTTTCTTTCTCATCGCATGGGATAGGGTTGGGGGTGTTTTCGGGCGGTGTAGGAAGGTGTGTGGCGGGAACTGTTATACCTTGTGGTTTTTTTCTTCCTTTTTGTGTGTCTTGAGATGCATTTCATGGTCGGGGAAAGGTGTTGTTGGTTACGACCATGATGATATCTTGTCCGTCGGTTGACGTCTTCTTTTTCTTCTTCTTTTCTTTTCCTTTTTTGGAAGATCCTTACTTTTGAGATGATACATAAATACCTATCTTAGCATCAATGCATTTTACATAATTTGTAAATGAACTCGTGCATGTCATTGATCTTAGAGACAATACACACTTCTTTCCTCTAGCTATGGAAACGCCGATCAACGTCAAAGAGACAACATGAACTTCTCTTCAGCGCGCATCTTGATGTGGAATCAGTGTACAGGCACATTAGAGACATTGTCGGCTGGACAATGTGTACGGACATGTGATTGTATGTATAAATCTACCAAGCTAGCTAAGATGGGACACGACCCATATATACTCCGGCATGAGTGTGAAGAGCAGGAAACGGACGCAAGTTGTAAGAGTGTGAAAGAATAGCGAAAGAATACATAACGAGCGTTGCTTGCTTCCGTAAAGTTTGGCAAAGAAGGAAGAACAGAATTGGGAGCCGATAGTGATATGATGCCAACGAAGTAAAACTCCTCCGCGTCTTGGACGTGCCTGTGTCTTCACCATAGCAGCAAGCAACTGGCCGGCCTGCGGGCTGGCCATCCCGGCCTGCCAAGCGCGGGAGGCCGCCATTTCCGCCGTTGCGGCCTGGTGCATGGCCGTGCCAAGGGCCTCGGTGGCCACGCGGCCGGAGCGTCGGGGGGCGTTGTGGCTAGATAGCTCTTCGGTGATCCTGGGAAGGCCTGGACAACCGTTTACCCATTCATGTGCATCCTGATCTTCATTGAAGTTACAATAAGGATTGTGTGCACAATCGAGGTTATCGCGGTCCGCCTCTGAGAATTCGAGTCCCTATGAAGTGGTGAAGGGGATTCGACACCGCTGTAGTTTAGGTTTGTCGGGGTAGTCCTTCTATCCGGCAGCGATGCCATGGACGACAGATCTTTGATCCGGGTTGGGTCGATCCCGTACTGCTTGTTGCATGCTAAAAGGTCTTGCCGAAGTGTATACTCTCTGTACCTCGCCTGCGGTTCTTGGGGGCAATTTGCGGAGAGGACGAAGGTGTTAGAATCTAGGTTGTCCATGGCGTTATGTTCATTGCTGAAGGAATCATGTCGAACGGCCGGATCTTTTGCAGAGGTACCACGAGTGACGACATTCCAGCTGCTCAAAACTTGGAGTACCTCCGCTGGAGACGCTGTTCTCAGGATGCGGATTCGGAGTAAGAATCGGGACACGTCGGGCGAGGAGGACTAGACGTGGTCGACGGGGTGAGCGGTCCACTTTCCACATTCCTCCCTGCACGGCAGTGCCGCTTCGACCATTGTACAGCTCTCCAATGATGCCGTGTTGATACGAGGTACTATGACCGCAGTGGCGGTAATGCACACAGGCTAGCTCGCGCTCATCCAGAGCATCCTGGGCGCATTTAACGAGAGCTTGTTGGCATTGTGTGAACCTGACGTCCTTAAGAGGCGTTGTGCCGATTGAAATCGTTATCGATTCTGACAATCTTCAGGAAGTCTCCACGAAAGTTGCGGTAGACCCTAACAGGGGGCTGGTTTGGCCAAAAACTCTGGATCAGGTTTGAGTAGGCCTCTTCCTTATTCTTACGAATTTGAAGGTCCCATCGTGCAGTCCGAGAAAGCGTGAAGGAACATGGTAAGGTATGGTGAAAAGCAATTATCGAGACTTCCAGTGCGAGCGTAATGATTGACCTCTCGGCTGACGTCGAGGTTCTCTGGTTTGATGACCGGCGACTAGAGAGTGAGATCAACAAAAACTCTGGGGGCGTTTGCGCGGGCCTCTTCTGCGAGGACTTCTTTCGCTTGTTCGATAGAACCATTGCAACGAACTAGAGTTCCAAGGAGCGACTCCTGGCTTTGAGCAGGGTACAAGGACGCAAGTATGGCTATCATCTCATCCGTCGTGAAGGCGGTTTCGAGCCCAAGATATGTGTCTCTCAGCCTTTCCTTGTATGCCACTGCGGATATGCGCTGGGATAGTCCGTGATGCATACCGCATTGGATGGTATCAGAAGATGCGACATCGATCTCGATAACGATAAGTTGGCGACCGTGATGTTGGCAACGGCAATGGCGACGTCTGTGAAAAGCAGCCATAGGTAGAATAGAAACTGAAAGACCTCCATGATCTTCGTAAGATTGTGGTTTTTAGTCTTTGCTGTAATCTCGATGCGGTATCCTGTTTGAATCGTGCCGGCCGAATCGGTGTTGGTTCCGCATCCGCAGCGTGCGACCGTCGATAGAGCATGGGTATAAACATTGAGGCGTAGCTCGGGTGGTAGACTGAGGAGTTTGTGGAACTTGAGCTCATAAACCCAGGCTGTAGCAAAGGTAGCAGCTTCGGCGATGGCAATGAACTCGATCATTGTCGCATCGTATACATGGTTGTTTTCCACACAGCTTTTCGGGATGAATAAGCGACATTGCTCATCGACACAGTAGATGCGAATGGCGCGCGGCGTATAGTGTTCTTCCGCTTTGAGTGAGTACGCTTCGCGTACCTTGGGACTCAGAAGCGTACTGTTCGATGCAGCGCATAGCTTCGCGCTGGCTCTTGAAGAGATGATCGATACCAGATATTTGCTCGAAGACGAAGTACGCCATTGGGGGTGACGTTCGACGGGAAGTAAAGGTTAGGGTTCAATCGTATCGTACAGCGATGATCGGACGTATATGCCGTCAATATACACCTCCTCCAGGCTACTACATTCGATGGTTGTCTCTGGTTTGCGCTTGTAGTCTGTGGTATCGTTGTATATGCTTACCTTGTCGACATGGAAGGTGATGTCGAGCTTGCGAAGGCTCTTGCAAACGATGGCCAAGTCCATGTCCGCTGTCGATACTGGTGCTTGTAAGTCACTCTGCTAGAGCCCATCGCCGTGGGGATATGTACCTGGATGCTATAGTGGCTTAAAATAACCAACGTGCGCATTCGCCATGGCACGCTGTTGGGTAGCATAGTTCAGGCTTCGGATCCGTTCGTGATGATCTAATGAACACGCATAGCCGAATTGGTAGCGAATGTGTTGTTCGGGGCGAGAGGGTTCGAGGATTGGAGAGGACATGACGTTGTCGTCGATACAGTCTTTGTTGTAATGAGGACGCATGTCGAAGTCAAGAGTTTGTTCCGCCAGGTGACTGCAATATGCTTGCGGGTTCTGGCCCCAAGGGGAGCTTTGGCAAAGAGAACAGTGGTACAATGGTGGAGGTAAATATGAGAAGAGTGCTGAGAAGATTGCGAGATGCGTGGTGGATGTGAGTAGCAATGAAATGGTGGAACCTTTGAGGTTGGAAGTGAGTGTTGGAGTAGAAGTGTTCAGGATTGAATGAAGGTGTTTTTATATGAGCAATTCACTAGTGGGTGCGGCAAGCACCAATAACAATACATGAGATGGTACCTGCTAACAGTTAGATCGCTTGATCGTGAAAGCAACAAACCTTTATGACCTTCTTTCCTCTAGGGTGGGAACCGACCGGCAATGTTGGAAGCCACTTCGGGTGTCGTGATCGATCGTTGATGTTAGTAGAAGCTACTCACGGGCATAGTATGCATTATAGAAAGTGTACATGGCTCGTCCATGTGATCGTAGCTGACGCTGACACCCTCACTTGTCAACGACAACTGGCTGGCAGCCTCCTTCTCAGTCGGGTTTACGCTCTTGACTTACCGTAAATGCTTGTATTATCTCACCCAAAACTATCTCAGCTCCTCATGGCGGGGCGATATTGGAGACCGACTACGGAATCTCTGACGTACGCGTTAGCACATAACATAGTAGGTGTGTCATACATGCTGATGACTATAACTGTTTATTGACACACTCTTTTTTCCTTTGGTCATTGCTACATAAAACACATGAAAATATTGGTTGGTACAAACTCGATCGCATAGCCATGCTCTTCTTCCCGCTTCACGGTTCCTCCTCAGACTTGATCCTAGCTTTGCGACGCTTTATTTAGCCCACTCACGGGGTGGGGTCTGGAGTCTCGGGTGTATTTCCTGGACATGAGTCATGAAAGGGTTTTGGTACATGAGCTTCCATATCTCTTCTCAGCTACGGTCGTTTTCCATAGCTCGCCGCTACTGTTTCTAGGATCTCATTGCAAAGTGCTCTCAATTCTTGCTGCTCCCTTGCGTTTTCCAGTGTCGGTGAAAATTCCAACCATTGCTCCGCCTTCTCTTTGAGACGCGTTCGGTAGCCTCTAGCGGTGAGATGAGGAATGATGGCATTGGGGTCGCTGGGATCGAAGGGTACGAATACAGCACCGGCGCGAATCATGATCATTGTTATCTCGGCAGACTGAAGAGGCGCAAGAACTGCATCGTCTTTCATGTGCTTAGACTGCATCCATATGTCCCAACAGGTTCTTGTGTCTTTTCCGTTCAACGCGATGCTCTGGTTTGGACCGCACCCAGAACGGACAAGATGACCGATCATGATTGACGAGCATGGGTCTCCTTCATGGAGAGTCAAGGGCTTCTTGAACGCGTGATATAAGAGTGTCTTTTCCGAGTTCCCTCCCGATCTGTGTGATCTCGGTAGGGCGTTGAACTTGCGCACACTCTGACTTTTGACGAAAGTAGTCAGATCGAGTTCTACAGCCAGCATGGAAGCAGTCTTCTGCATTAATAAGGCAGGCATAAGGGAAACCTCTCGTTTCTCTTTGCTTTCTCCACGATACGTAAGCGCAAATGCGAAGCTGTTGAGTAGATGTGGCAAGTTTGACGGCGAACTTTCTTCAACTTTCCGCACGTAATTGGAAACGACCAAGAGAGGATCATGGTCTTCGTCCTCTAGTCCTTCGTAGAGATACAGTTCGTAGCAAGACATGTACGCAAGTATAGTATTGGCGTCGAACTGACGTTCATGGATCTGCAAGCAGTCCATTTTCCAGACATCTGGAACACTAAGATATTCGAAAACCGTACGGTGCATAAAGTCGATAGACGGGGTCTCGTCGGAAACAGGTGTTTTGAACTCCAGAAGTCCTCTGCACCGACTGCGTAGGCGGCCTTCCAATATCTTATATTTCTCTTTCCGTTGGTCGAGCGAGAATTGAACGAAGTTACCCAATTTTGATATGTCCATATCTTGCACGTGAGCCCAAGCTAGCCCAAAGGCACTTATTTCAGCTTCAATCTGCAACAGTCGATTTACGTAGCAAACTCGCAGGAGTTTGGCAGCTTGTTGGAGGTAGCGGGGAGGCAGGCCATTAAGTATGTGCTGGAAGAGACTCTCTAGTTCCGGTGGTAACTCATCGACGCGACGTCGAAGCTCTTCTTCATCGTCGTAAGCCTCGAGACCCTCGATAAGTGCGCGGCATGCTAGCACAACCCAGAGGAACACACCATCCGCTTTTCTTCGTATATCATTCACCAGCCTTTGGACAGTCTTGCCACTCAGATAGCTATGCTCTGCGGTGTAGGGGTGTGCCCGCACAACGTCATTGATATATGTCGCGATGTCCGATGCTGTAAGGTCTTGTAGCCTCAGCATGGGAGCTGACGAGAACGCTGCGACACATGTATCGATAGGCCTGCTTGAGACCAGTATTTTGATATGTGCGCTAGTGACGAGACTCTTCACGAATGATATGCCATCTCGGTGATTGCCGTTAAACTCATCGAGGCCGTCAATGAAGAAGGCAAACGCTCCTTCTGTGGTTTCGGCGCAGACTCTCTCGAATGCAATCTTCGTTTCAGCCTTTGACGGGACTTTCAAGTCGACGACACCGATTTGCGCTTCTTGCCACATGTCCGGTAGTACTGCAGGGATTAGTCCCTGGTTTTGTTGGAGAACATGATATAGCAGCCCTCGAGCAAGTCCTTCCTGGGAGTTCTGCTCCGAAGATCCAATGTTCCACAAGAAGAATGAGGCCACGGTCAGTTTTCGGCCGGATGCCCATTCGTTCAATAATGACATAATCCTGGGGTGGTTGTAAAGAAATTTCTAAACGTCGAAATATGATATAAGTATGTATACTGTGGTTCATGTAGAAAGATCACTGACCATCAGCGTGGATTTCCCGCTACCCGGTTTACCATGTATCCAGTAGATACCATGTCCAGATCGTAGCCACTGGCCCAGATCATCCCAGACGACGCCAGAAGCGGGAGGATTGATGGCCCACTCGAGAGTCTTCGAATGAGCTTCGGCGATGTGGTTCTTCCTGTCATCGATCAAACGGAACCAAAGGCGGTTAAGAATGGATCGAGTGCATTCTCGGTCGATAGTCTGCGTAGTAACATCGATAAGATTACTGTCCTCGAATACGGAAGCATTCATAACCTTTCTCAATTCGCGAACGCTCTTAAGTTTTTTGATCTCATTCTCCAGTACGATCTGATGAGACCAGCCAAGTTGCAACGGAGGTATGACCCTGTCTAGGTCCATGAGAAGATCCGATAGTTTTCGAACGAGACTTTCGAACTGTTCTTTGTCTTTGATGACCCATCTGACCTTATCCGAGGTGCGAAGTCTGCTTTGACTATCTGCGTCGGAAGGAGTATGTGAAGAATCAGTATGGTCGTGTTGAGGGGCTGCGTGGTTGTGCAATTTCCAAAGACCCAGCGACTGCTTGCTTATGCGCAAACTCAAGCGACTGCTGAGTGCCGTTGAAGTTTCAGCTGCTTCCTGGATATTAGCCGGCCTCACACCATAGCGATCCTGTAGTAGGTGCCCGTCCTGCAAGAGCTGAATAATGCATTGAAGACCTGACTGGATAAGATCCTTAAGGTATGGGTCCTTCAATCGTGTATCGTACTCTTTGTTGTCGTAGAGCTTGAGCCGTTCCGCCCATTGTAACAGTAATGTTCTTTGGAAATCGAGTCTGGTCGCAAGATATGAGTAATCCTTCCCGATAGATTTGGCCGCCCCAAACTGCGACAAAAGCGTTACACAGTCTTCGAACACTCCGACTAAAGCAAGTAAGCCGACGGTAAGACCGACAGCTTCCATAAGGACGAAAGAGCTGTTATGCTCTCGATTCCTTTACTGACACGTGTAAAGGTAGGAATAGCGATAACGTTCAGCGGTCGTTTAGGTAAGGTTGTTGTATGATTGTAACCATACAGTCATGTAAATTGCCTGGCGTAGTATCGAAGCGATTAGACCGTAGGGAAGAATGTTGCATGCCTTCTCAGCTGAGTCGCCGACGAGCCTGTGTCTTCTACATCGTAGGATGACAAGGTGTGCTGAAGGCTGAATCCGCCTGACCCCGCGACTGCGCAATGCGTCAAGAGGCGGCCGCCGCTCACTGGCTGCATGTCGTAACACCACAGGCGCCACTTACCGCAGCTGTTTCTGCCTCGCCTTCAAGTCAAGCTGCGCGGTCATGGTTGAAAAGCTACATCGCGTCCAGCACCAAGTAAGATGTGTTTTCGCGTGTCAAAGACCAGGCTGAGAATCGGTCGCAGATGCTTCTGCTGCACCTTCGTCCTCTAGTCAGCATGTCTACGACGCCTTTTCGGTCGAGGATCTCATTAGGGGCGGTGATTGCGATCAATGTGTAATTGTGCGCGCGAAGGAATGGAGTTACACTGGATCAAAGCAGACGTGAGTGTTAACTTCTTAGGCGCGAGCTCTCGGTCGCAGACGGCGCGTACCAGCCGCGCTAATGAGCCAGTGTGTGGCGCAGAGTGTGGCTCGAGCAGAATCAATCCAGCATCGGCCAAAGCGCCGCACCACTAATGCGTACCGAAACCTACCACCTTTCCGAACGTCAAAGTCCTCGCTACCAGACACAAATGATACATGGCACCGGTAAGTTCAAACTACACCTGCCACCCATCACCTCATCCTCGCACTTGCAGTCGCGCCCCGCCCATCCTTCGGTATACCCAGTCAGGCATATGCAACGATCGGACCATTGCTGTTCCGACATGACTCGCGCCCCAAACAAGGCATCCAATGTCCACCCAATTGCAGTAGTCGGATCTGGGCGATCTTGGTGATCTTGGTATGAGCACGTGCGGAGAGAATGAGTGTGGGTGTGGGTGTGTGGAGATTCTGAGCTTTATGAGGCTCTGCTCCGTGTTTTTATGGAGCGCGCGGAGTCTGCAGAAGGGATGGCATGTGACCTGAAATAAGCTGGACATGTTCTGTATTATTGGAAGGTAATGCCTGATCGTTTTTCACATCACAAGGAAATCTTGGGGAAGTGGGCAAGATTTATTGTTTCAATGTTCGTATTCATTCATCATATCTCATGGTCGCAGTGACCTAAGTGGTATCATCTCGGGTTCAACCCAACGGCTCGCGCCGCGTACAAACTCTCTGCACTGCAGACAAGACCCAGGCGAGCACTACGCTCAAGCCTTCTCGTTGTGGTTGGAGCCGTCAATGACCTCAACCGCCTTAGCACCGTCCTTCTCGCTGTGAATGCTGCCGGACTCAATGTCCTTAACAGGCTCAATGTTGGCACCGATAGGACCAGCCTCCTCGAAGTGACGACCCTTCTTCTCAGGACCAATAGCGGTGGTGACTGCGATACCGATAGCGATGATCGCAGTAGCAACACCCATGACGGGTCCATAAGCAGGCGACTGCTCGCCCTTCGCAGTGTTGATCATAGTGGCTTCAGCGACGGCGTTGACGATCTGTGCAGAGGGCGAGGAAATCATGTTTCCGAGTTGGTAGGTGATACCGACGAAGGAAGAACGGAAAGCAGGTGGGGACAGCTCGCTCAAGTGGATGGGAATGACTCCCCAGGCACCCTGGACGAAGAACTGGATCATGAAACCAGATGCGGACAAACCACCCTCGGTAGTGGGGAGAATCCAGGCAGGGATGAGGCAGCCGGAGATGAGAGCAGCGCAGACGATCATGCGGCGACGACCGAACCATTGCGAAGTGTATCCGAGAATGGTACCACCGACGCAGGCGCCAGTCTTCATGAGAATAGAGGCACGAGTGGCACCGGCGGGGCTGAGATGCTTCTGCTCCTTCATGAAGGTGGTGTAGCTGTCTTGGCTGGTGTGGGAGTAGTAGTTGAACTAGTTTGATGTTAACGATGGATCTTGCGTACAAGAATCAGTGGCTAAACTTACCCAAGTCATGAGGATGATGCAGTAGACACACATCTTCCACTCCTTGCGAAGCATTTGCTTTGTCTCGGCCCAGAAAGCACCAGGTGCCTTTCGGTGACCAGCCTTCTTCGCCTCGAGGAACTGCTTCGACTCTGGGAAGAGGACGCGGATGAAACCAACTGCGATAGAGAAACCGGCGCCGACCCAGAACACCGTCTTCCAGGTGTTGGTTGCGCCACCGACACCCAAGTTGGCACACGCGGCAAGGACGTAACCGAATGAGTAACCTTGCTGCAAGATACCACTCATGAGACCACGAGCGTTGACACTGCAGATGTTAGCATTTGCAAGCTAATTAGGGAGTTGAGGTCTACTTACGGGCAGTTCTCAAGGGCCATGGAGATGGCGTTTCCGTAAACACCTCCCATGAAGAGACCGAAAAGACTCCTGACGGCCAAAAATTGCTGGAAAGTACCAGCGTAAATGGTAGCAACCTGGAGAAGACCCAAGATGATCATGTTGAGAACCATGGGCCACTTGCGACCAAACTTGTCACCAGCTACACCGAACATAGCAGCGCCGACAGAGCGGAGAAGCAGTGTCAGGGTAATGGCAGTTGAGATGGCAGTGTTGGATGTGTCGTAGTAGTCGGCAAGCTTGGTTGTCTGGATCGACAAGGCGTGGAAGTCGAAGGCATCGGCAGTCCATGCAAGGAAACCGACGAGGAAGTATAGCCAATCCTTCCATCCAAGCTGAGCGAACAGACTGATAGGGTTCTTGAGAGGCTCTGGCTTCTGCCACTCGCAGTGCTCCTCTCCGTAGTCATTGCGAACGACTACACGTTGGTCCCAGGTGAACAAGTCCTTAAGACCCTGTTTGGCGGTAGGGATGATACCCTTCGCCAAGGGGTCCGCGGGGCGGTTGGTGCTTGACATGGTGTTGGAGAGACCTTGAGTCGAGCTTGAAGGCAATGAGAAGATAAGTAGACTGCCCTGAAGATGTAGGCGCAAGTCCGATCACACTGCTGGTTCCAAGATCGGAGACGGGGCAGCCATATATATACCTGCGTTTGCTTCTGGCTGATCGAGTCGCCTCGTAACGATACTACAAACGCCCATACCAGTCACCCGCTGAGTCTTGATGCGGGCCAAGCCTGCCAAGTCCGTCCATGCAGTCGTTGTTGGACGGATGCGCAGTGGATGTAACCATCTCCAGCATGCCAAGGTCACTAATTTACACTAAGCATTCCGGTGGGCCATCCTAGCGCAAAAGCGCAAGTGACAAAACAGAACATGTTCCGGGGTCGGATCGGACGTATCAGTGCGTTCTCTCGTAGCGGAGGAAAGAAGTGGGTGTGACGATCCTACGACGCCGTTGACATCTTCCCCACGGGGTGTGCTTTTCGAAATTCCCGCAACGTGGTAACTTTCCAACCACATATCTGTGCAACCACACCACCATGAACGCGTTGGTGTGTAGTAACACCGAAAACCGTTCTTTGCTTGTGTCCGACCAAGCTCCGGTAAGCGCTGGAGAAGCTTCTCGCGCGACTTGCTCGCAAAGAAGCTTCAAGCCAGTGAAGCAGCCACAAAACTTGGCGACTGACCCCGCAGTGAAGAGTTATGCCGCCGCGGGCTACCGAAGCTTTTGTCGCCTCGTTGTAAGCCAAGAGGGAAGACGGCACATACGATAGCCAAGATTCTTCATCGTCAGCCGAGCTTCCTTGAGTGGGCTTCTTTCGACACCCATCCTTTGTTCATCGCGACGTGTGACAACGTCCTAGCGCACAACATCAGCTATTGCTTACAATCATCAAAAATAGATACGGTCGACCTGTTGATCTGGGGATGCTTTTGCGTTATCAGCAGACTAATTATTGGTGCAAGGCCCGATGGTTCGGCTTGCGGTCCCTAGGGTTGGCGGAGTGTTTCGCGCACGCGGCTGGGTGAAAAGCAAGCCTGCACAACACTGTGAAAGTGAGCGGAGACAAAGAGGCCTTGGCGGTATAAGTCTGTCTGTTAAAATGACCTGACCTATCCCTGCCGGTGCGCGAAAAGACCAGATTTGGACTGGGGAACGGTAAGGATTGGATGAATGGTTGATGAATGTGGGGACGGCAAGGGCGATAACGTTTGGATGAGGGAGGGCGCGCCCCCGTGTCCCTCGCTAAATCCTACACACCACCAAGACTCCGATTTCAAACGCCGACCGGAGGACACTTACTCGTGAGTACTCTTGGGTGTGATAATAATTGCATAATATCGTATCCACACTTGTGGCCTGAGGTAAGGCGTGCGCCCGTGGAGGTATCGTGGCCTTGTTTCTTCACGACATGTGGTTTCAGTCCCGAGTCCTTGGCTGCACACGCCGAGGTTGTGCCTGAAATCATCCTTCGCAATAGTTGAATCTGGTATGAGCTACCACTACCCTAGCGGGAAGATTTACAGTGCTTGAACGGATGCAAGCCACGAACCCATCTTCACCGGAGGACCTACATTCGCCAAGTTGCTGAAAAGATAAGGGTGTGGCTGGTTCTGAAACGGCTGGATGCTTTTGCGCTACAATTGATAACCCACTTTCGCATGGTTTCTAGCACTCTAGCTCACCAAGAATCTAGGCGCAACCGGGGTATGGGGAAGGCGAAAATGCCGAACGCGGACTTTACAGCGACACCAATCACACGTCTTGCGATTCCACCCGGTAGCTGCTGGCCCTGCATATGCGGCTCAGTTTTGGATGTGGCAACTACTTCTAACCGCGGCCGCGAATCCATGCGCCTATGCGGATGCGGATGCGGATCGCTGAATTACCCCTTGGGTGCGTTCCGGGAACATTTCTTCTGGGCGATATCTTTTAGACTGATACGGGCAAGACAAGCGTTGGCGTCGTGGAAACGGGGTTTTGATGGAGGAGCTGGACGTGTTGAACAGTGTATGATGACTTTATGACCGCGATTGAGTATAGACTTCCAATGGTGGCGTGAGAATCACTTCGACAATGCCCGTCTGTTGAGATCACGACTGGATCTACTTCACTGGCGTACTTTCAAAGAGGAAAGGTGTTCATTAATCGCTACGACGTAGAGAATGGTCACCGAAGGATAAGTCCACTACTCACAGAATTAGCCCATTGTGTCAGACATGATCAATCAACTACGCGACCACCGAGTTATGATGTTGAGCAGAAGCCTACGTTCTCCCAATGGATACTACCGTGGTGATGCCACCATTCGCCCTCCTTCTGCCTCTAAGTTACTCGATCAGTCTTCTGCTTCTTGATCGCGCGGCCAAGTTTCAGAGTCTCACCACGCTTCTCGTTCTGTTTTGCCTGTGCTCTGGTAGCATCAAGTTTCTCAGCTGGGTTGGCGACAATACCCTGCAAACCGCTACCACCCAACAAGCTATCGCATCTGGTCTTCGACACCCTAAGCAATTCTATGATCCACGTCATACGATCCTCAAAAGTCCAGTTACGTGTTTTTGCAGCCTGGTGCCAGAAATTGGCGTCGAACGAATGGAATACGGAAGGTCCTAAGCGGTGCAAACGCTCTGCCAGATCTTCGATTGTCCAACAGAGGATCAACTTGTCTACAGGCAGGTAGTAATCAGGCCCTGTTAGAGGCCCACGCCAACGCTTCTGCAACGAGTTTTGGTTCTTTCGGCCTTGGTTACCTTCGATACCATCGAGATTGTTCATGGCGTTGAGAAGCATTTGAACCCACCGCTCACGGTCCTCGTCTGTTGCTGGAAGCGTCGCATCATCTTTGGGACAGTGCCAGTCCTGCGGCGGCGTTTGATTCATTGCTTGACTGAGGGAATTGACTATGTCGGACGGGTGAGGGTCAAGTGCAGGGGCTGTTAAGCCTTGATCAGGAGGTGGTGCTGCGATGAAGTTTCGCTGAGTAACGTTGTTTTGTAGTTGAGGTGCGAACGTTGCGGGCATAGTTGGTACAGTCTGACCGTTGTAGTAGCTATGTTGACCCAAGTTGAGATAGCCTTCTCCGTAGAAGTAGTCGTTGCTATAGGTCGCTGGACTGGGGGTAGGTGTATTTATACCCATGTTGGGAGAGGGCTGTTGTGCATACGAACCATATACTGCACGTGGTTGCTGCTGCTGCTCTGTGGATACATGTGGTGCACACTGATGACTCCAAGGGTTCTGCCGTTGCTGCTCTGGAATCACATGTGGTGCGTACTGACGAGCCCACGCGGCGCTTGTTCCCGTATTGTGAGGAGGGCTTGGAGCAAGATGGTGACCCCATGCATTGTGCTGCTGTTGCGGTTGTTGTACTAGGAATATTTGAGGCGGATGTTGATAAGTGAATGCACTGTGCTGTTGCTGTGATCGCTGCTGCTGCTGCTGCTGTTCTGGAAATACCTGGTGTGCATACTGACGGGCCCATTCATCCTGTTGCTGCCACTGTTCTGGGTATACCATTCTCAGAGCTGTAGGTATGTTCTTGTCAGGTACGGTGATACTGTTGACTAGGGCTGAGTTGCGTTTTTGAGCGATGAATGGCGACGATATCTAAACCAGAAAGTGGAGGATCGTTTTAATAATACAAGAAGTGCTGTGAGTGCACTCTCCAGAACAACGGCAGAAGGAACCATCACGCAGTCGATCGAAGTAGAAGAGTGAAACCTATTGCGATTTCACCAACCTCGAGCTGTGAATTCGCAGCACTATTGTCACCCCCAGAACATTAGACACGTGCGAAACTAGCATCAGCGGTGCTGGTGAGGTTTCATGGTCGTATAATGAACCAAGTCGTCTCGATCGAGGTAAGACATCGCGCACGATAACGGTGCAGGTCAATAATCTCAGTTTGATATTCGGTGGTTACATAGCACTAGAGATAGATAGAGCTCTGGACGTCGCAGACAGAAGGTGCGGGTGCTAACGAGAAGCACGTGCCACACGCGACTTGTTGATGACGTTGTTCGCAGATCGGACCGGAAACATCGTTCCTTCCCCATCACAAACATTTGCCTCAGCATTCCATATGAACCAGGTTGCCAAATAAGCAAGTATACACAGTATTGCATCCATCGCCACAACTGTGCATGCCGCTCTTATCCTAGAAGATCGGGCCATCAATAAACTCATGATGGAGGACGGACATCAGTATGCAAGAAACGTAGCTGCGCAAAGAACGAACAGTTTCATTGTAAGAAGAAAGGGGTCATATCATTCACTACGAACATATGAACATACTAGATTCGAAAGGAACTACCACACCACACTCATCCTGTCCATCAATCTACTGCCTACTACTCGTCCGACTCGCGAGCATCAGTCTTCTCCGCTTCATCGCTGTCCATCTCCGAAGCATCTCTCTTCTTGCCAGCGACAGCATCATTCCCAGTAGCCAGGTAACCTTGTCTATGGCCATTCGAATAATGATTAGTCTTCGTTTGTCTACACAACATGGGCGCATTCGCAACAACCATCTCCAAACCATCAAGTTTAATTAGACTCGCACATCTAGCCTTGCTCGTCTTCAACAGCTCACACACCGCGTCGATACGCGCTTTGAACGTCAAGTTCCGGTACGTGTACACGTTCTTGAGCTTTGATGGGTCATAGATGTTGAGAGACACAGGACCGCGAGTATGAAGATCGATAGCGATGGTGAGTAGATGCCAACAGATGGTAGAGATCATGACAGGTGTGATAGGGGACGTAGGCGGATTAGATGAGAGAGTGGCGAAGTGCGAATCGAAGTTGGCAACGGTGGCGCGGTCGATGCATTGGGTTATGTCGACGTAGGCGTCGTACATTCGACGAATGTAGACCTTGCGGGTTGCATCATCGTCATCCTTAGGTAAGCTAGAGTCGTTGACTGGGGGAGTATAGTTGTGGAGAATCACGCGGGTGGCTGCCGCTTGCTTAGCCTCCGCAAAGCTTTCGAATCCCATGGCTGACGGTACAGCCGCGGCGACGGGTTGAGTCGTTTGTGCCGATACTTGTGCTTGAGCAGGAGATTGTGCTTTTCGTGTTGCAGCTGGCTCCTTCTGCGTCCTATCGCCACTTGACTTCTTGAAAACCTTCATTTTGGTAGCCATTACGGACGATGGGAGTGCTGAATAAACTCCTGGACTATGATAGTAAAGCCCACCCAGTGGTTCTGTGGAAGCTGTCTCTGATAAAAGCGACGTTGTGTATTGATGTGCGGCGTACTGCAGCTGGTTTATATGCTGCACGTGTCGACCCCTTGGCACTGAATCGTGCTGCAACCACGGTGTTTGTGCCTGAGCATGAGACAGCTGCACGGGCTGTGGTGACGCATACGATCGTTGTAAGATGCCCAGAGGTGTTTGTGGCGGGTGAGACCCTGGAGGCCACTGTTGACCAGGTTGGGAGATTCTAGCGATATCAGCGGAACAAGAATCTTGCGAACGGGCATCAACTATGCGATTCGGATACGGCAACTGTGCTTGGTTATGTGAATCATGCTTTTGCTGAGAATCCGGCTGTCGCTCTTGCGCCATGATATCTCGGTCTTCGAGTACATACTTTATGCCTGCAGAGCATGATATGTCAGCGTTGATGGTCTCGTTGTCTATGTTGTCGGACCAAAGCCATCCAGTATAGCATCCTGCGCGTGTACAGTTGCAACTAGGGTATTGGAATCGTCTTTACCCAGGAGCGCATTTTCCATCCCAACATCACTCTCCTCCAGGTAGACAGTATTACACAATGTGTCTACATTTAGATCGTGAACCTTCGCAAGACGGCTTGGATCCTGAGTGTGTTGAGACATATCGTAGTTGGTTGTGTATTGTTGCTGTTCCGGTCGCATGTTTGGCATGGTTGCCATAGGCGGTGCTGCCGTACGAGTCTGGAAGCAAATCGTTAAGTGCTGAGAAGTTACGCGACATTGTGAAGTATCTCTGGGTGGGTAGTGGAACGTTGTGGTGAAACCATCACGTCGCATCGATTTCATAACGTGAAATCGTTGACGAATTGGCGCTCCGTTGAGGTGAATGCAAGAGAGACTGAGCACCCATGTCGCATCGATGGCGAACACGGCCGCAAAGTCATGCTGCTGTTGCTATCCACCTCATAAGCTTATTTCCATGATACTGTGTTGTTCTACTAATGAGGAGTCATCCATATGTTTTGCAATGCATCAGAACCCTTTTCACTATTGAGAGACATCGATATTAGACCCAAATACCTTCTCTTGATGATATTCGTATATGTTAGTGTGTAGCTTCGATATACATACAAAACATACATGCAAAGGTACTCAACATCTAGCAATATGGCAGACGCAAAGAACTCGATGGCAATGATGAGGAGAACAACAACATTGGGGTAAAAGATGATTTGTGTATACCAAGTGTGATGGACGCAAGCATCCAATATGCACATCATGACATCAGAACAAAAAGCCTCTCCCACGGTGCAACCCTAGGGTTTGTGATGTAGCACAAGGAGGTACGGCCATGACCAACTGATAAGCTTAAAGATCTAGGGACAAGCGGCAAACAGAACATCGGCGTGGTTCGCAAGAAGTGGCCCTAGAGCTCTTTTGAACTCTCGTCGAAACAGGTGGCGCTTTCAATGTATATTAAAGACATCCGGGTTTTAGATGGTAATGGAAGATGAAAGCGAGTGATTCGATTAGCTCTCAATGGAGCTTTCGAGTACCTTCTTGCGGAGGCTGCTCTACGGTGGTAGTACCGCCTGGGCGGGTTGTAGTGGTTGTTGTCGTGGTCGTGGTCGTGGTCGTTGTGACTGTGACGATGTTCCCAATGCCGGCATCGCGGTACGTCTCCCTGCGCACATCCTCATGGCTTGAACGACTTTGTAGTGTTTGCTGAGTCTGTTGTGGCTGGCTTCCTCCATGTAGCTCATCTCGAATAGCTTTCCTTGACCCTTCGCTTTGATCATATATATTATCTGGTCTTTTCAGTGTACTTTCTAAAACTTCCCTACGGGAGGATTCAAGATTATCCTTATCCTTGGAACTATCCAGAGAGCCTCTGGGCTTGCTCGTCTTCTCTGGCACAGTGTTGCCAATCTTACGAAACAAATATCGAGAAGAATCAGGCAAGGATGGTAGTATGGGCTGGACAACGGATGTTCCGGCGAATAAGGGGTGGTCGAAGAACCCCATGTGCTGAAGTGCGTGGGTAACAGCCTCACTTGAATTATTTTCGGCGTCCATGTAGATGGCTCCAATAATGGCCTCGAAGACATCTGCCACCGTGTTTGGAGACTCCCTGGCCGATCCTGCGTGGCTGCTGATTATGACTCGATCCAGGCCGAGGCTGAAGCCACGATCAGCGAGTTTCATATTGCTGACCAAATCAGGCTTCATATTATTCCAAGACAAAAGGGTGTGACGCTTGCCTACGATCATCAGTGTTGGGACAGGTTGGAAGATACAGTGTGAGATTACCGCGGTAGTCACGCGCCTGGTAAAACATCTTGGCCAATACTGCGTACATGGCAGCGTCTCCGACTAACGAGAGAGCCTGGTTCTTATCGACGCGATGGACAGCACCCGCGACGCGAAAGAGGCAATCGGGTGGCTTTATCTGCAAGGCTTCTGCACATAGCAGCTTGTTCTTGAAGACATGACCACTGATCATTTCCGTGCGCTCGATAAGGCCGTCAACCATTGGGATTTCATCAACCAGGCCAGGCGGGAAGCCTTCTTTCGCAAGAATAGAAGGATAAAACCACCATTTCCGCCTGTAGGTATTAAATTCTATCCTGAACTGTTCATACTAGTCAGTACAGAACACGCAAGATCGCTTCATGCATCTATATGCTCTTTCGAACCTGGAGTCACTTCTTGAATAATGCCATATTGAGAATGCAAACACCCATTTGTTCAAACAACTCATTGTGTTTGACAAAATGGTCGAAGGCGCCAAAAGCGAGCGTAATGCCGTATTTTGCCTGCATCTGCAATGCTGTAGTGCAGGGTGACTTCGTGAAAACCCAGCCAATAGCGGACTCAACGCCGGCAATGCTTAGGTCAATTCTGCCACCGGAACTGAGCATATTCTTTGTCGCAGTGTTGATGATCGCTTTGGGTATGGGTGGGCCAAGCGAACAAATCGACGGTAAAAGCGGAGATTGTACCTTTGGGTCTTCTGGAAGCCTGGTTTGTAGGGCAAAGGTCGTCGGTTTGTCCTCTGGTGAACGGTCTGGTTAGATGACTTCGGTCTTATCTCGCTCGGGGTCGTCTGGGGTACCATGGTTCCGTATCACTCGGCGTGGTGCCGTGGTTGTAGTGGGACTTGACGCTGCGTAGGCAGCGAGGCGTTGGTGCCATTTCTTTGCGGACTGCTTTCGCAACACTGCCTTACTGCCTGCTTGCGAGGCTTTCTTCGCGAAACCTCCCATCGCTGAGATGCGTGGGGATATCAGAAGTGTGGACGACCGAACAGCCGGTAAGATTGTTCGTGCGTGAAACGCAAGGCTTTGGTGTTCGAAAAATGTCAGACGCCGGTGTCCGAAGCAATTTCATTGGTTCCTTGCATGGCACGGTCGCCCCACCGATCCATTCTCACCAGCGCAACTGGTATGCCAATTCACAGCGCAAGCACAGTCTGCCGTGTGTTTTGCTCTCCCTTTCGCGATGGTTATGATCTTCAATCGCAATCTTAATTATGGCCATCTTCTATTTCTCCGAAAGCTTCGGCCTCCAAGCCTTGCCCAGGCCGGTTTTGCTAGCATCAAGGGCTCATGGTTTTGCTGTTGCTGTTGAGATTCTGGGCAACCTTTTAAATGTGCTGCGTCGCCCTCGCTATTATCCATTTGTTAACGCATTCGTGACTGAAATATTGAAGGCAGTTCTTGCAGGAGAGGTTGTCGGCGATTTAAGCTTCTGCGGCGAACGCTCTGTCCCCCTCGTTCAGCTCACGAAGTGTTGACTTGCGGGCTTCCGGTAATCAGGTGCCCTTGCAGTGCCTAGGTTCTCGGCGTGCAGTTCGGTACATCTTTATTGAATGCTATAAAATATTGGTGGCGCAGAAGGAGTGGAAAGTACAAGTAGACATTTAAAGTTCGCGTTACACGTGGCGGGGTGATCTACGCGGTTTCACATTATTCTGCGAGGGTGACTAGACTTTGTCGCATCCTGCGGTCCTCGAGTGATCATCTTCCCTAACATCACTTTGTTGCATAGTCTTACACTTGACGACGCGCTATTAACTTGTGTTTAAACGGACCGTTCTCGGTTATAAACAACATGTAGCGGGTTGTTTCTTCACGCCGCTTTCGCGTACGCCACTACCAATCAGGAGACTTGTCAGCCAGTAAGCCGATCGACAACTTAATTGCTATCTGGGGGGTGACACGGGCCCTTTCTGGGGACGTGCACACTAGATGGGCTTGAATGTTGACAGCCCTGCCAATCCGGAGGTCGAATGGTGGAACGAGCAGCCAATCAACTAGAAGCTAAGGATGATCCAGCCAGCCATTGTAAGTCTGGGTCTCTCTCAGGGTGCTGCCACAAGTCCGCGGATAACTTCAAAAACCGAGCCTCCCCTCGCTCATTCCATCTTGTCTCAGAAGTCTAATACACATTTCTTTCGTTATTCTCATTCTACAGCCGCTTCCGTGTAATAAACGTTTGCCAATATGCGCTTCTCCATCATCGCCGCAGTCGCTGCATTCAGCTCTACAGCTCTGGCCCAAGGTCTTCTTGACCAGATCCCGCAATGTGCTGTGAGTAATTGACAATGACTACTACCGAATGATAGCTAAGGAAGACACAGCAACAATGCTTCGGTGGCAACCTAGGCAGCTGCGGTGTTGCCGACATTGCATGCATTTGCGGTAGCAGTGTAATCAACGATGTATCTTGCTGCGTGTTTGCTACATGCTCGCAGGCGGATATCCAAAGTATGTCGCTTGCTATCTCGCAGTCTGTGCCAGCTAACAAGTTTCACAGCAACTACCAATTTCGCCGTCCAACTTTGCAACCTCCAGAATGTCGATGTGAACACGCAACCCTCGTGCCCGTCTGGCAGCGCAACGCCTTCTGCGGGCAACTCCTCTAGCGCTTCCATGACCTCTTCGGGAAGTGCCTCTATGACCTCTTCAGGAAGCGCCTCCATGACCTCCTCAGGAAGTGCCGCCTCAGGAAGCACTTCCATGACCGCTTCAGCATCCGCGGCAGGCAGCACCGGAGCAGCGCCCTACCAGACTGCAGGTGCTGGAATCGGTCTTGGAGTCGCCATGGTTGGATTGCTCGCTGCTTTGTAGAGAAGAACGGTTATTCCTGTACGCTGTTGGACACTTGTCCAGCACCCAACTTCTTGAACTGTAACTCCAGCCATGCACCCGACGCGTCGGGGACTAGAACGCTTCACGAGGCGTGCCTCGAGGAGTTCTTCTCGCAAAAATCGACTAGTCACGCGAAAGACATGGCCTGGCTTGTCCTTAGTATAATCCTACTTTTTTGAAACTTCTTCGTTAGCACGCTTGATGACTATAAAGGCAGCATTTGCTGAATCTTGCCACGGGTATAACATCTCTCTCTCTCTCTCTCTATGTCAAAAATGGTCCATCAATCGCAAAGACGGCTTGCGAGGAGCTTTGTTTCAAGATCTTTCCTCTTTCGGGGTCTCTCGTCAGACACAATTCTAATTACCTTGCGAGTCTCGATGGCTGCGATCCATAAGAGCCCAATCGAAGTGGAGGAGCCGCTTGTCCTCCTGCCCGTGAGATAGCCTGATACCCATGTTCATATGATGCTCACATAAGAAAATGGTCTGGATAGCTCTAGCTTTATCCACATATAATGTGAATGCCCAAATCTTGAAGACGTAGATAATCCATAAGATGACTATGTCTTTGCGCATAATGTGCCCAATCCGGTGCCCGTGCGGCTTAGTCTTGAACATTTGAAGCCTTGTCGGCCTCTAGTCGGAAGGCGCTCCGCCACCACTATCTGCCATTGGCTGCCTCCCACCGAAGCATATTGAGATTCCGCGGTCCATGGGGGGCGATCTCCACACCCCAGATCTATTGACCCTCCAACACCTCCGGCATCTCTCACTGTCAGCCTCCCTCCCTTTTTCTTCCAATCCTGTTCTTTTCGCATACATATCATGTAACTGCTTAAACCTCACACCATCAAACTGAGTTGATATAGGCGCTCATAAACTCGTGCGACAATGGGTCTCGGCATCCTCGCTGACCATGCACTCGAACGGGTCCCTGGGACCGCGCAGGTATTTGAAGGCGAGCAGCGGAGAGAAGTAGAAAGAAATGCAGGAAGTAGGACAGGAAGGCCAGATCTGAAGTACGATAAAACTGGGAAAATACTGCTTGTTCCGCAGCCGAGTGATGATCCGAATGATCCGCTTGTACGTCCCTTTGAACCTCCCAGTCTCGAAACGAGGCCTAGGTAAGTCCAACAAGGTTGACTGATGCGTTCACAGAACTGGTCTCTTCGTCGCCGCGACACCATTCTCCTTCTTCTATCCCTCTTGTCAGTCATCGCAAGCACCCTCTCTCCCATCCTCGCCGCCAACACTATCTCCCTCGCCATCTACTTCGGTCGCGACTTGACCGACATGGCGCTATTGACCGGCTACCACCTCTTGGGTGTCGGGGTCGCGGGCTTTCTTTTCGTGCCGTCAGCGCGTATCTGGGGAAAACGACATGTGTACCTTCTAGGCAACGTGCTGGTGGTGGTGAGTTGTGTGTGGGGTGGCGCGATAGGAAATCATTATGGTGGATTTCTGTGGGCGAGGGTGTTTCAAGGCGTGGGGTTAGCGCCATTCGAGGCGCTTGTTAATGGTGAGTTCCAAGGGCAGGAATGGAGGGCTCTGCGCTTGAGTTGGGTAGATGCTAATTCTTTGTGTAGGTACGTTTGGTATTTCCTATTTCGTATATGCTTGAGACGATGTCCGGATTCCTCTGTCATTGGAGTGACAGCTGTATGGTGCTCCGCTGAGACGACTCCAAGCATCGTCGCAAATCGTGGACATCTCTGAATTCTATTCCAAGCCTGTACTAACGTTACACGTCGACTTATAGCTAGCGTTGGCGATATGTATCACGTCCACGAGCGTGGAGTTCGCATGGCGCTGTCAAACTTCTGCGTCTTCGGGGGCGCGTTTCTCACCCCAGTCTTGGTAGGAGTGATTGCGGATCGAATCGGGTACCAGTGGACCTTCTATTTTGTCGCCATATTCGCAGGAGTCATGCTACCCTTGATGATCCTTTTCGTCCCCGAAACGGCGTTCAGGAGAGAAGAAAAATTTGACATCGACACCATGGGGAACTTGCTGGTTCTGGATGGAGAAGAAATGAAAATGTTGGGGAACAAAGGTCCGAACACTACATCACTTGAACACGACGCAGCTGGGGATATGGTGGAAAAGGGAGCGGAAAATTCTCCAGACCAGCAATCGACGGGCGGTCCGCCACGCAAAGCTACTTTCCTCGAAAGTATCAAGCCGTTCAACGGACGGAAAACAGATGAGCGATATCTGCACCTCCTTCTACGTCCTTTCTCACTGTTCCTACACCCGGGCATCCTATGGGCTTGTCTCATTCAAGGCACTCTAATCGGCTTCACGGTTCTCATCGGTGTTGTGCTTGCAGCGATTATGCTCGGCCCACCGCTTTGGTTTGGAGAGGTGGAAACAGGATACATGTAAGCCTCCTCCTCACCTCCTTCTTCCTATTCTCTTATCCACCCCGTCCCTATGTTGTACGTACATATTCTGACTCCATAACCTTATAAAGGTATACAGGTGCCTTCATCGGTGCACTCCTCGGCTTTGCCCTCACCGGCCTGATTAGCGACTGGTCCGCCAACCTACTCACGCGCCTTAACAACGGCGTATACGAACCTGAGTTTCGCATGGTACTCGTAATCCCACAACTCATACTAGGTTGCGCTGGTATCTACGGCTTCGGTTGGACCAGCGCAGATGCGGGGAAGTACGGGTGGTTCTGGCCTGATTTCTTCTTCGCGCTCGTGGTCATGGGTATGGTTTGTGGTGCTGTTGCCAGCGCGCTATATATTGTCGATGCGCATCGTAAGTCTCCCAGATTGTGTCGTGTGTTGAGATACTGACGTGTACAGGCGGCATGTCCATCGAGGGTTTTACGTGCCTCCTCGTTTTCAAGAATATATTCTCCTTCGCCTTGACATTCAAAGGCTTCGACTGGATTGTTGATGCTGGACGGCGGAGTGGGCGAGGTGGAGGTGGGGGGATCAAAGACCTGTTTGTCATCGTCGGCAGTGTGCAGGTCGCCATTTGTGCGTTAACAATTCCGATGTGTAAGTTTCAGCGATAGAAGGCGATACGATGACTTGAACTAACACATCTGATAGATATCTTCGGCAAGAAGAACCGGAGTTTTTTTCACCGTTATAATATTTTCTTTGCGATAACAGATTGGGTTGCGGATAAGCTGACTTTTTGGTAAGAGGGTGTCAGAAAGGCATTGTTGGGGATATTCGCTCTAGATCCATCAATGTGAACTTCAATCTTAACACACAGTGTAACCTCCATCCACCTTTATCTCTTGTCCAGTAATGTAGCTAGAGGCATCCGATGCCAAAAATGCTACCGTACCCATCAATTCTTCAGGTGGGCCCATGCGGCCCTGTGGGATCTTGGACTCCCATTCGGCCTTTAGGCTTGGGTTATCTACAAGAATCTGCGCCTTCCTACTCCCTGTCAGCTATCGTCTCTTACTCCATCACGAATACGCACATGGCCTGCTCAGTGATCATGTAGCCGGGGCTCAAGCAGTTCACTCGAATGCTCTTGCTCGCCCATTCAACGGCTAGACTAGCCGCGAGATGCCGAACTGCTGCTTTACTCGAGTTATACATGGCCTGCGGTTGCGGCACATTGACGATGCTGCCGCTGATGCTTCCGATGAAGATCATGTTTCCGGGCTTGTTGCGCGCCATCAAATATCTAGCAATTTCAGTGGCACAGTAGAATGTGCCTTCCAGATTGACGCCGAGCATTGTCTTTATCTCTTCAGATGTCATCTTGATGGCTTCTACGTTCTGACAATATCCGGCACAGGTAACTAGATTCGTAATTTCGTCATGCGCTCCGAGTACCTCGCGAATTGACTGATCGACCTCGGATTTCTTCCCAACGTCAGCGTAATGCGTTGTAATCTTTGGGACCCTGTGGGAAACTGTAAACGCGTAAACGCAGAGGGAAACCTTCGGACTGCTTACGGCTGTCCCGAGTGCAATTGCCGGAACTCTTGGGTGATCTCCATGGCTCGTTGAGTAGCCTCCGCTTCTACAAGTCAGGGTGACGATGGTCAGCACATAACGGTCAAGTGCTCCAAAGGTTGGGAGAAGACCAACTGTGAATGTCGACAATCGCGAGGTTGGCACCGCTTAGAACAAGCGATCGGCTCATAGCTAATCCTAGGCCTCTGGCGCCACCCGTGATAACTGCGGTCTTGTCCGCAAGCGAGAACGCTGGCAACGTAGGCCGAAAGGCCGGACTGTGTGTATATCTGGCGGAGGTAGTCATCCCACCTGGCGAGCGTAGGCGCCTAAAAGTAGTCTTGCAATTCATGATACCTAGTGGCAAGTGCTCCAAGGGAAAAGCGTTGAAAGACGAATGCAGCCGTGACCAGCAGGCACGATGGTTTCATGGAGGCTAGGGCTGCATCACTAGCTCCCCTGTTGCGGTATACCTAGGCCGTGCCGCAGAGCAAGCTCTCTTATCGGGCGATAGCGCTAATCCGTTCCTACCAGCGCAGCTAGAATGCTAATTGGTCGCGCAAGCACAATCTACTGTGTGTTTCACGGCGCATATAAACGATACAAACCAAGACCGTAGAGGTTTTTGATGGCCTAAGCGAAAGTGCGATTTATTCTCAAATTCGACTTTTACCACTGAACGAGTGTGTAGATTGAAGTCAAGTAGAAATTGACACGAGGAAGAAGATTTATTGCTGCAGCAGTTGAATGCGCCAGTTCCTGGACCACTACCTTTCCAAGACACACAATGTTGAATGTTGTTCTTGAGCGTCTCCTACACCTAATTCATTCCCACCAAATGATGCTCCAATGTGATGAGGCTGCCACACTGCTACCTACATGCTTGACGACGGATCAACATTCTGTGACATGCATCAGGAACCACACAGATGAGCCAAGTTGATGAAGGCGCAGTAGACTCCAGGAGCGCAGGCTCGTAGATCCAAGCGGGTGCGGCACAGCTGTCTCTGGAATCCACTCATCGAGCCATCCCCAAATTTTCAAAGCGAAGAAGAGGCGCCCTGTAATGGTCTTTTCCTTGCGTTCGAATCTTCTTACGAAGATCAAAACGCAGTGAGAAGTAGAACGAAGCGCCAGCCTTTCGTTGAGAGAATTTGGGGTTGGCTCGTTTGACAGAGTCCTGAGACAGCTAGGCCGAGATCTAGAAGTTTGCACGTCAGTCAATAGAGAGTTATACTGCTCAGGATGGGAAGAGTGGGGGTTGAGACGTTACCGTTAGGAGTGTATGGTCGAAGAAACCGAGTGAACGCATGACGCGATTAACAGCGTCATCTCCGCCGTCCTGATAGACTGCGCCAATGAGAGCTTCGAGTGTTGTCGCGACCATTCTGGGGGAGACGGCAGGCGTGCTATCAGCCACAATGACGCATCTGTCGAGGCCAGTCTGATATCCTCGGCGAGCCAGCGCATCGTTGCTCAGCATCTCGTTACGCAATTGTGTCCATTGCGCTTGAGAACGCACTCGCCCTGTGATCGTCAGTACCCCGCAGCGCTCAACGGGAGCGTGTTCCTTACCAGTCGAACTGCGAGCTTCAAACCAGGCGCTGCAGAGTACCTTGGCGAGAACTGCATCACCTAGGACAGACAATCTCTTGTTGTTGTCAAGGCTCTCAAAGGTGTTGTTGTATAGACAGGCGATTTGCGGAGCTGCCATTTGGACAGCCTCGACCGCGATGCGCTTGTCAGTGAACGTGTATTGGAGTAAGGTCCCGATATCGACCGCCTTCGTTTCGACTCGAGGTAGCATCGTAAGTTGATAGAGCTGAGACGTGTTGATCAATGGGTGAGAGACGAGATGGGAGATGGATTAGTTGGCAAGTGAGTTTCGCTTGGAGATGATCAAGTTCCTCTGCGAAGCTAGCGCAAGCTGCATGTGCTATAGCGATGTGCATTTCAGTGTAACATGCGGTAGTGTAGCAGGGGAAGATCAAGTTATGGACTGCCTTTCCTGTAAACTCAGTCACACCTTTCCAATGAGATCTCCACGGGTGCATCGCCAATGCTGTAGGAACGCCTTACCCTGCGCAATGGTCGCATCTAGACCCCGGCGTGCCGACAGCCGTTCCTGATGAGCGACAGCGCTATGCCATGTGTCTAGCTTCTTTCTAGTTAGCGCCACCATACGTCATACCAAATTCCATGAAAACAGGCATCATGGGGTCTCCGCCAAGATGGAATCCAACGTTAAAGAACTGGGCGAGCCATTAGGTAGGCACACTCGTTACTTTTGCTATCCGAATAACCGGTCCGCGGAAGTAGCACCGACACGGATCCCCCGGAAAGACCAACCGCAAGGGTCTAGTCAATATGGCAGAAGAGATGGTGGTGCGTGGCCCTGCAGAAATCTCCTTCAAGCGTGCGTCTTGCTGATTTGCGATTCTTGATAAACAGGAGCTCGGGTTCGAGGGTCTTGACCGATTTGCCGACAGGCATTTTGACAAAACCTACGACCGTCTACCAGCGATTCCGAGGACAGCGAAGCAGAAGCGCAAATTGGAACAACGACAGCGGGAGTATCTGCAGAAGACCCACGGTCAAGCACCACAAGACGGGCCGTACCCGCCGCGAAATCACCCTGAAAACCAGCCTGGAAACCACCCTGACAAGGGGTACACGTCTCGCTCCACTGCACCAGAAAGCGCAAACGGCTACAATTCCGACCCAGAGATGTACGCGCCAGATTCCCGGCAGGACCGCTATGGGCGAGACGACCGATATCGTGAGCCCGAGCAGAACGGCTACACTGCACCAGGGCCAGGATTCAAAGTCCCACGCGGCCGCGACGGACCGGGTGATACACGCGGCATGCAGGTAGCAGTGCGCCTAGTCCAACGACATGCAAATTCCAAGCTAACGTGTAACAGCCATATGAGCAACAAGCCCAGTCTGAATACGGTCAACAAAGTCTTTACGGAGGTGGCGGCGTGCGGCCAGCACCCCAACGAAGAGGCTCATCATGGTCTCCGCCACGCTCCCAGCGACAGGGCCGATCAAAATCACGACGTCGTCGGTCGAACTCGCGCGAAAGGGATAGCTCAACCGACATGAAGAGCCGGCTGTTGGCGACGGTCGGCGGTGCTTTGGTAGGCGGCTTTGCCGGCAACCGAGCAACTAAAGGAAAAAAGTACGATACCGTTGCAACGATTGCCGGAGCCATTATAGGCGGCGTTGGTGCAAAAGAAGCGGCGGACCATTGGGACGACCGGAAAAGGAAGAAGGAACAGCAGAGAAACGGGGATTGGGACGACGACTCGGATGACAGCAAGCGCAGAAGTGATCGCAGGAGAGACGACAGATATGAGCGTGATGACAGAAGGAGCGATGACAGAAGGAGCAGATACGACTACAATGACAGATATGAGGGCGATGATCGGAGGAGATACTAAACATGCTTCATGGCGGTGGAGCCTGGCTGACAGCTTACGTGGGACTAAGCGGAGCTTTTTGGGACCGGCGTGCGGCTTGCGCGACATATTTGTTTGGGTGGAAATTTCCGGGCTCGGGCATGAAGTGATGATGGCGCAACCTGGGACACGATACCTTTGTAGGATTTTGTAATTTTTAAGGGAAAAATGGATGACATGCAGGAGGTGTAATCGTTTGTTGCGGGAATGACGTGCGACGGGCGTGCCTTGTCTGCGACATGATCTGATGCGAAGGGGAGGGGCCACGCGACGGTGGGAGTTCACAGGAGGCGCCAGGGGTAGATTGTCGGTGCGGTGGTGGGCTGTCGTTCGTAATAATAGCCGATACACGAGGCACATGTCTATGCTTTTTGCCGGGAAAGAAATTCTAGAAGACTTCCAGAGGGTGTGGACATGTTTTGAACACTTGGATGCGGTGAGGACGTGGAAGTGTTCAACATGGCGCAAGTGACTGTCGAGGAGCAGAGGCAAGGTTCAACTCGGTGTGTTAGCTAGGGCTGTCCGTGCTGTTTCGAGAAGTGTAGTAGAAGGTTAGACCGATCCACCTGGTTGCGGGACCAAGCCTCGTCCCGCAGTCTATCCATCATCTCTCCGAGCACCACGCTTCAGTCACAAGAAATTATACACTACACAGAAGCCAGCGCGCCAGGACCCACTGCAGGTTCCCGAGCTCCCTTGTCCATAGCTCTCTGCCCGCCCAGCTGCACCATTGCTCAGTCCTTGTGCTACCCCAAGCCGCGCTTCGTCTGCATCCCGCTCCTTGGCCGAGCAACCGTCGAGCAGCACAACTACACTCGAGGAGCTGCACCGCGCATACACACGCACCACCATGAGCTGGTGACTGCCCGACCACCACACCACCGCCCCTTCCCCACCACGCACGAGCTCCCTGCCCAACCGTCTGCCACCTGCCCCTCGCTCCGCGACGTTTGCCTCTGGTGTCGCCGCTGCCGCCGCACCGCAAGACGACGATGCGCAGATACAGGCCTGGAGGAGGCCCCGTGAGGGCTCATGGCGGCGTGCCAGTGCCTGATCCCTTTGCCATGGTGCGCGCATACGACAGCGACTCCAATCCCGCCCGCCCCATACGACCCTCCCCGCTGGCCGCCTCGACTATCCAGGGTCTCCCGCTAGACCTGCTCGACCGCCTGCGCTCCTTCCCGCTGTTCCAAGCCGCCCCGGACTCGTTCCTCACACAGGTCGGCCTGCATCTCAAGCCCCAGCTGTACCAGCCTCATGACACCATTCTCACCGAAGGCGAGACGGGCAAGGCCATGTACTGGCTGGTCCGCGGTGCTGTGCGCGTGACCTCGCGGGACCAAGAGAGCACATATGCAGAGCTGAAGCCCGGCGCTTTCTTTGGCGAAATCGGCATCCTCATGGACATTCCCCGCACCGCCACCATCATCGCCAACATGCGCTCCCTTGTCGTCCGCCTGAATAAGGAAGATCTCATGAAGGAGCTGCCGGCGTTTCCCGAGGTCGAGGTCGCCATCATGCACGAGGCACAGGAGCGACTGGCCATCTTGCAGCGCAAGAAGTCGGAGATGGGAGCCAAACGGCCCGCCATGCCCATGCGCCAGATAACGGGCAAGCGCGATCGCGAAGACGGCGACGTAGTCATGGCAGAGAGTGGCACTCTGCGCGAGGGCGAGGTCAATGCCTTCAAGAAGAGGAAGTCTCCTAGCCCGGGTCTCGCTGAAGCCATAGCCCATAGTGCCTTTGGAAGTGGTAGCATACACGTGAGACCACTGCTCAAGGAACTGCCTCTCTTCTCCGAGCTGCCTGATGACATCCTACACTTCATTGGCATGCGCGCCCAACCCTGCTCTTTCGACCCCTTCACCGACATAATCCGACAGGGCACACAAGGACGTGATGTCTTCTTCATCGTCAAGGGCGAAGTTGAAGTCATCAACATGAACATGCCAGAACAGAACGGCTACACCTCGCCAAACGCCGGGCGTAGGAAATCCATCGCAGCGGGCGAGCAACATTTTCAGGAGGTAAAGGCCCGATTGAAGCCTGGGCAATACTTTGGCGAAGTCGTCAGTCTCTCGCTTGCGCCACGCCGCACGGCTACGGTCCGCTCCGTGTCGGCCGTTGAGTGTTTGATGATCAGTGGCGACACGTTGAACCAGCTGTGGGACAAGTGTACTCCTGACGTACGTCGGCAAGTTGAGAATGTTGCCAAAGAGCGGTTACAGACTGCCAAGGATGATGATGTACAGATGCTCGATGCGAATAGCACACCCAACATCCACGACCTGGCAATAGCAGACCACATAATACCACGAACACCACGACGCAAGAAGAGCGTGCCGACCGTCACCTTCAATGACACAATCGATATCGATAACCCGGTGACACCCACCCGGAGAGACGAGAAGATGATGGAACCGTTCGATCCTGATCCGTTTCTCAACGTCGACCTCGACAATGTCAGGTCGAGATCCAGGAGAGGGTCGCTCGCCCCACCGCCTCCAGGATCAACGCCCGATTCGCCATCCAGCCCAGCTAAGACCGACTTTCCCAAATCCCCATCGCCTGGTGGATCTCCCCTTTCCCCGTCGCCATCTTTCACGATAGCGAAGCATGCATCCACACCGCCAGAAATGCCCTTTGACTTCAAGCGCCCTCGGCTTGTCAACAGGCCAAGCATATATGGGAGAGGCAGATTACCTGATCCAGTGCTTGTCAAAGTTCTCGCAAATCTGGACATTCACCAGCTCATGAAGTTGCGCGCAATCTCCTCGCATTGGAACAAGCTAATATCCGAATCACCGGACATACTTCACGACCTTGACCTCACCAAGTACAACCGCAAAGTCACGGACCGAGCGCTAGTAGATGTAATATGCCCCTTTGTGGGCAGCCGTCCTCGATACATCAACATCAGCAACTGCTTCCACGTAACTGACGAAGGCTTCGCTGAGCTCGCCAAAACATGCGGTCCTAGCGTCAGGATCTGGCGCATGAAGAGTGTATGGGACATCACTGGCCCGGCCGTCCTAGAAATGGTGCAGAAAGCCAAAGGCCTCGAGGAAGTCGACCTCAGCAACTGCAGAAAAGTAGGCGATAACCTGCTTGCTCGTGTAATCGGTTGGGTGGTTCCTGAAATGCCACCGCAGATGGCAATGGCGCACGCGCAACACCAAGCTCAAATCAACGGCCGGAAAGGAAAGGGAAACCAACCTGCCCCGCAACCGCTACCACCTGGTACCGTTGT